CCATGTAGTACGGACATTCTAATTTTCCTGCTGTGCTCCAACCAGACAACATACCATAGGCTGGAAAATCACAAATGGTCCACAATAATACAGCTCGAAGGAGAAAATTTTGTTTTGTTGATATGTCATATGTGATCACTCATTCTTCCCATAATAACTTGAGGTCATCAATTAATGGTTGTAAATAAACTTCAATTTTTGCTTTCGGATTATGTGGTCCAGGTATTATAAGAGTTAAGAATATGTACGGAGTAGTCATATACATCTCTGGTGGAAGGTTGTATGGTGTTAATATAACTGACCAACAAGAGTACGGTGTAGCAGTTTGACTATAAGGGGTAAAACTATTAGCACATAATCCTAATCTTAGGTTGCGGGGTTCAACAGCAAATGAAGCATGCACTCGATCAAAATGTTTCCACGCTTCAGCATCTGATGGATGAGAAAGAACATCATTTTTTGCTATTTTCTCCTTATGCCATCTCATATGGCCTGCTGAACTCATTGATACATAGAGTCGCTGAAGTCTTGGAATGATTGGTAAATAAAATAAACGGGAATATAACACATCTTTCTTTGGACGACGTTGCTTTCCCGAGTTTGGCTTAAACCGAGGAGCATTGCAGGTGCGACAAAAAAGTTCTGATGCATCATCCATGTAGTATAACATACATCCATTGATACAACAATCAATTTTTGTAGCAGTGAGACCCAGCATGGATACTAATTTCTTCATTCTGTATAAATCTGAGGGAATTAAATTGTCCGCTGGATTAGTTTCCTTCATAAGACCAATAAAGTCATTGAAATAATCACGGAAATATTATACTTAGTTTTAGTACTTAGCATCCTCACTGCAATGGATAATTCTGAATGTGTACTGCAACCATCCCAAATTAGCTTTTGAGCTGAATGTAATAATTAAAAGAATTTTTATGTTTCTGTATTTGGTGGCTCTTCTGCACTAGACGTTAAATTATGACCTGCTACATCAAAAATCAATTCTTCATAGGGTCTATTCATTTGATCTTCATCAAATATTTCATAAGGTGTAGATGAACCGGCATGAGCATCTCTGTGTGGCTCGTACTCGCCATGTGATGTCCAAATCTAGTAGTTTGGAAGAAATCCCCTACGATATAAATCAACCTTCACATCATCGGGCTTGAGAAATGCTAGATTTTTATGCTTCGAACATGGACATCTAAATATTTTATCAAACTGAAAGGAAGACACTTGAGATGCAACTTGAATGAAAGTTTCAACTCCCTGTATAAATTCAACTATCAATCCTTTTCGATCCGGCAACAATTTGTTATACATCCAACTTCTCTCTTTTTGGATAGTCATTTGGATGTTGAAGCAAATGTCTCCCTACATAGTTATGAAAATATTATTTATAACACATGTGAAAACGTGCTATACTTTAGGTGGATGAATGGATTTACTCATAGTATAATTTTCAATGAAATTGATCTCCAGAGCAAAGGGCATTAAGCCAAAAAAGTTGTTATATAATAGCTCGTGACTACAACTTCATACGAGGATGAAAATTAAAGATGTTGTATAAGCTTGAAACTTGTGGTATCAAAAAAGTTATTATGTGTAATGAACACGACAATGCTACAAGCAAAGTAAGGGAGATGTAGTAGAAACGCCTATGTTATCAATGCAGACTAATGTGTAAATGAGCACATAATAGTCTACTTTCAAATGAAAAGAATATATATGCTACAAGATTCTTGATTTATGTATATCCAACACAAAATTTGCAAGTATTCATATCAACTAACTAATGAGCTTGCATATTGAAGAGCAAAAGCTCTAATAAAGGGAATTATTAGTTGATGCAACAACTGATATGCAATAGATACGAGCACTTGCATACTCTTGTAGCAAGAGTATTCTAGCATCCTCATATTCAACATCAAGACACAAATAAGCATATTGTCTACAAGCAAATATAACATACCTATAGCATAATGCACAGTACCTACGACCTATTGTAGCATGGATACCATAACATCTCATAGCCAACAACCATCCAGTGGAAGATAAATACACTCAAGAGGTATACAGCTAAGGTTGTGATATCGGTCCCTACGGTTGAGGTCGGTTCACTTGTAGATGAACACAACCATTTCTTTTGAGCTACGATGACCACTGAAATTACTTGTGGATAACAATAGTGGATACGTAGCAAGTGACGTAAATCCAAACTTTTAAAATATATTCTTGTTTCGCATTCTATTCCTATGAGTGAACTCACTCATCCACCTGAGCATTCTCATCTCTACAACGCTTGCTCTATTTCTCTCTCTATATCTCTATCTTTCTTTCTAGCTCTCTCTTGCTCTCTATCTATCTATCTATCTATCTATCTATCTATCTATCTCTCTTGCTCTCGCTATCTCTCCCTCTCTCTCTTTCTTTTCTCTATCCCTCTCTCTTTTCGCTTTCTCTATATTTTCTCTCTCCCTCTCTCTCTTTTCCCTATCACTCTCTTTCCGCTCCTCTCTCTTTTCCCTCTATATCTCTATCCCTCTTTCTAGCATCCTCATCTCTACAACACTTGCTTGCTCTCTTTCTCTCTTTATATCTCTCTTCCTCTTTCAAGCTCTCTCTCTCTATATATATATATCTCTCTCTCTCTTTCAAACGATTACAACATTACCTCTTGCATATGTCTAGATTATAACCTAAATCATACAATAAATTACAAACTCTTGCAAATGTGTAGTGAGAACAAATAATCACAGAAAAACATTAAAGATTACCTTCAAATCGCGGTTTTTCTTCAACTCACACGAAAATTAAGGCAGCCGGTGTGAGATCGATGGCGGCAAGACAAGAGAGTTCGATTGAGCAAGAGGCGGCCGGTGTGGGGTCGGCGGTCGGAGCTAGTTCGTCGCCGTTTGGAGAGAGGTCGTCCGCGGCAAGACAGCGAGGTCGATCGAGCGAGACGCGGGCGGAGGCGACGACAAAGGTCGTCCGAAGCGAGAGAAAAGGAAAGAATATAAATGAAATGCAAGGCTCGGGTCTGTTAATTTTAGAGCAATTACCGGCGGGCTTCCGGTGGTCCAGACCGTCGGTAATGTGATCACTTATCAACGACGGGATACACCACCGGTAAACCGCCGGTCATATTGACGCCTGGCGGTTTATGCGGCGGTTTGATGACCGTCGATATTACCGGCGGCTTAATGTTACAAACCCCCCGGTTAGCCGCTGGTACTTGCCGGCGGCTAAACCGCCGGCTACACCGCCAGTATTACCGGAGGTCCGGTAACCGCCGGTCACGAACGTCGGAAATCGGCTATTTTCCTGTAGTGTGAACTTTCATTCAAATATTATAGTTTGGTGTTATTCTTTATTGAATTACATGATATTGATTAGGAGTTATAAGGAGATGATTATTATGCCAATTGATAAATAGTAACAACTCGGAATCTCGAAGTCGACCCGTATGACAAACGGGTTGACCCAAATCTAAAATTGTTTGGGACGGGTTTCAGGAAGTGTCAGATTTTGACACCCCTAAACTGTACTATTTTATAATTTATAAACTTTACTATTACTACCTTATGTATATGAGTTTTACTATTTTTATACAGATTAATAATCATATAAATATTATTATAATGATTTGACTAGTAACATGTATATTGCTCATTTATCATACTTTGGATTTAGTTAAATGATATGCTTGTTGTACAATTGAGATCATTATATGTGGTTAAATGATTTCAAATCAAGACAATAGACCAAGAGTGAGAGATTAATCAAGATCCTTCTGATTCAGGTTCTTATTATTTTATTTATTCTTTTGTACTCAAGACCAATGTTTTAAAAATCATATCAAATTAGCTGGTTTGACTGGTTCAACCATGAACCAATTTAGTTTCCAATGCAGAGAAGTGAAAAAATAAATTGGATTTGCATTGAACATATACGAACTGGTTTGAATAGTTTGTTTAATTGGTAAACTGCCTAACCGATTCAATTTGGTTGAACTAGCCTATTCAAGAAATAATTTTTTAATATTAAGTTTTATTTAATTAATTTTTAATATACTTTTTAAAATCCTAATCTTATATAAATAAATTTAATAAGAATATAAAGTTGATAGCTTGATGCATCATGCAACTTTACTTTCTGTTTGTGGTTTGTGCTTTACACTATATAAAGTGATGTATATAACAACTTAAAATTCTCTTATGATGTGGGACTAAAAATCTAGGAGAATTTTACATGAGCTTAAAGCCTTAAATTATATTATGCTAAAAAACTACTTTAAGAAGCAATAAGAAAGCCGTCTCAAATGAAGTCTAAGTTGTAATGAGATTAAAGCCAATATCACTCGGACAAAAAGAATGCCGATCAAAATGAATACATTTTAAATACATGAGATTATATTTGAGTTGTTTGCAACTTAAAAAAACCCATACTTTATAATATATCATGAATTTTAATTCTATATTTTGAGTTGTTAATTTGATTTGAAGTAAAATTAATTCAACATATGACCCAACAATGATAAGACTGGGGCTTTGAGCTGGTAGTGATAATGATGGCTGGTTTTAACAGTAATGGCTAATTTGTTGCGATGGTGGTCGACGATGGTATTGATGTGGGGGTGAGCCGTCTTGGGGGTGGCCGGTGGCAGCGATGAAGCAGGTCGACAAGTGACAACAAATGAGCTGGCAATTAGTAGCCACCTCAAAATACATTAAAAATAAATTAAATATCAAAATTTTAATATATTATTATTTTACTCCATATTTATTTTTTATTTCAGTTTAATATTGAAAGTTTTAGAACTTTTATATTTACTGTTGAGTTACTAACAAACAAAACAGCCTCTGATCATTACATTAGAATTTGAACGCACTTATTTAAATTTACATACTTAATAATTACATGTCAGTACTCAACGTTAAAAAAAAAAGCATACCAACACCACCAATTCAAAAGAAAATTCCACCATTCTCATTCCGGGCTCATGTGTTTGTGACACAGAGATTCCTTTGAGAGAGAGAGAGAGAGAGAGAGAGAGAGAGAGAGAGAGAGAGAGAGAGAGAGAGAGGATTGATTCGTTTACTTGGCCAGCTCCATTTCATCTCCAGGAAGGAGGGAACTGGGCAACGGCAGCAAGTGCGAAGCTTGGAGTTCTCGAAAAGGTTTTGTTTTCTGAATTCCTTCTCTCTTCTTCATCTCCATCTATTGGGGACTCGAGGCCTTTTTCCCCCTTTTTTAGTTCCTAAAAGTGGTTTATTGGTTATCTTCTTATGTTATATTTTAAATATATATAACTTTTTTCGCTGAGTGTTTGAAGATAGCTTCATTATTTATAAGAATTTTAATCTTTTCTAGAGTGATGTGATCCTTTTCAATGTTATGTGGGGTGTATTAATCCATCTTTTCCAAACTTTTTTTTTTTATTTCTAATTAGCAAGCTGGGCCTATGTGCACTGTAACACTTGACCGTTTGGTTTTTAGACATTGGTTATTTCCCTGTTCTTTTCCTTATTGGAATTAGGAATCTTTGGTTAATTGCTATTGTTAACTATATCATTTGAGTAGTTGGTCAGTTTTGCAGGACTTGAATGATGTATTCTTATTCAGTTACAAGCTATTTTGCTTCCAGAATTCCCTTCTGCATTTATTAATTGTTGGATTATTGTTATTTTTTGGATATGATTATGTTTTTGCACCTCTTTTTTACATTGATTTGACTCTATTCTTTTTATTTCTTGATAAAATTTTGGGTTTTTTGGTTCTAAATTAAAATTCATCATAGAATCTGTTCCTTACTGTTCTTACCCTGGTGTGTGAATGTATGTTTTATTTGAAAAATTAAGTTTATTTATATATTAAACTTAATTTTTCTTTATATGCAGAAGAAGTCTACGTTAAGAGAATGAAACACTGTGTACCTGATTAGAAAATGGAGGATGACTCTAGACTATTTCATGATCTCCTTCATCCATCAAATCAAATGAGATTTATTGGGTTAGTGTTATATTATTGTTCCTTCTGTCATCCATTAAGAAGTTAGTCAAAATTTATTGCTTCTGATTTTATCACAGACAAGACAACGACTTGGTAGAACTTTTGTGGGAAAATGGGCATGTGGTGTTGCATAACCAAGCCAATTGCAGACCCTCAGTGGCAGTTGCTGAATCTAAACAAGCTCAAAAGCCTGAAACTTTGTTAAAATGGGGGGTCTCTGTTGAGAGTTCAAGCGACTTGATTCAAGAAGATGAGACTTCATTATGGTTGCAAAGTCCTTTAGAGGATCCATTGGATGATGAGTTCTCAGAATTCTTCTGTGACATGTTGACTGCTGAGCCTCATCTGAATGATAAGTTGAACAAAGGAAATAAATGTGTGACATTTAGTTCTTTAAAAGATAGTGATGGTTTTCCTAAGCTATCCAGTCTTAATCATCAACACAGTATGATGTTTCCTCCAAAATCGCTTGCTTTTGTTTCTGTAAAACACTCCTCGAGTTTTGAGGATGATGAAGTCTTGAATTTCTCCCACGATAGGAAATTATTAAGTGCAGAAATGGAACCAGAAATCAGGAATTCTGGTGGAATTTCATCAGGTGGTGAAAATTTAGTGAGAATCGAAGAATCGTCCTCAATGAGGACAATTGAATCAAGCATTTGTGGCAGCAACCATGATCAAAATCAAGTTGAGGCAAGCCTTACTTCAAGCAATGATGGAGGAATGAAGGAGGATTCTCAGCTGGGATCAGCCCAAAATTGTAGGCAAGCAAATACATTTGATCTAATGGTTGATTCCTCATCGGGTGGTTCTGGTTGTAGCTTTGGGAGAGTAGGACAGGAAAACAAAACAAGTCAAGGACACAAGAGGAAGGGAAGAGATTTAGAAGAAACTAAATGCCGTAATGAGGTCCTGTAGTGTTTTGTTTTCTTTTGATATCGAAGCTGTATTTTGTTCATTTCGTAGTTGAAACTTTATGCCTTCATATGTTTAGGATCTCGAGCAAGAGCCAGTTGAAGCAAATAAGCATGCTCAGAGAACTTCTCCTTCACGCAGAAGTCGTGCTGCTGAAGTGCATAACCTCTCTGAGAGGGTAGGAGTCCTTAAATATCCAATATGTTGTTGCTTCTAGTTCAGTTCCTTAACATAAATCTTTTATATAGAGAAGAAGGGATAGAATTAATGAGAAGATGAGGGCTTTGCAAGAGCTGATTCCTCATTGTAATAAAGTAATGAAATCTCATACATTCATCACAAGAAAGTTTTATGTACTTGTCCTTACTTATCATCGTCATTTAGTATCGATCTTTGATTATGTTAATATTTCATAATTCTTTAGTCAGATAAAGCATCAATGCTAGATGAAGCCATTGAATATTTGAAGTCACTTCAGTTACAAGTTCAGGTATGGAAATCAACGGCATCATGCATTAATATTAAGGCTTTGTTTGGGACGGCTTTCTTTATGCTTCTTAAAGTAGCTATCTAGTACAAAAATTAGAATTTTGTACTAAAAAGTTACTTTAGGAAGCAGAAAGAAAGCCGTCCCAAACGAAATCTTAATCACCAATTTCCTTCATCTGAATCTGATTTATTGCTCGCTGTGGTATCAGATAATGTGGATGGGAAGTGGCATGGCTCCAATGATGTTTCCTGGTGTTCAGCAGTATATGTCACGCATGGGCATTGGAATGGGTCATCCCCCATTTCCACCAATTCAAAATCCACTTCAGTTACCAGGATCCACAGTAACTAATGACTCTATACAATCGATTTCTATGCCAAACCAGCAACTGTCTTTTCCTTCCACAGGAATAAATCTACTCAACGTTCCTAATCAGTTGCCAAATATTCATCTTCCCGTGCCATTTTCACACTGCCTTGGCTTCTTTCCTCACATGCAGATGCCAATTCAGGTTTGTCAATTGCATTTATTCTTCTGTGCCCTTTTTATGAATAGTCTATAAGATGGTGGTGAGACCTGCAATGTTTTATGGTGTCGAATGTTGGTCATTAAAAGAGAAGCATAATACTAAGTTAATTGTTGTAGAGATGAGGATGCTTAGGTGGATGAGTGGCTTTACCCTTAGAGATAGGATACGAAATGAGCATATACGTGGAAAGGTTGGAGTAGCTCCAGCGAAAGGTAAGATTAGAGAGAGTTGCCTTAGATGGTTTGGTCACATTAAACGGATGTCTTCCGATGAACCGGTTAGGAAAGTTGAGATATTAGATTTGACTTATGTTAAGAAAGGTAGAGGTAAACCTAAAATGACTTGGTTTGAAAATATTAGAAATGATCTTTCTTTATTAGATTTAAATGAGAGTTTGACTTTTAACAAGACACAATGGCGAAAAAGGATTCATGTAGCCGACCCCTCGTAGTGGGAAAAAGGCTTGATGTTGTTGTTGATGTTGTTGCTGTTGTTGTTGCCCTTTTTATGAATATTTTTACTTAACTTCTATAAAGGTGATGGACATGTATGCTTATGGATCACAACTGATGCATCAGAATCAGACTGCTGCAGCAGTTGATAGCAGCCACATACCTGCTGTAGGAGCTCCATCTGAAAACATTCAAAGTGGTCATACAGGTAAGAAGGAAGACATTTACTTTTTGGTGTTCTAGTTGATGAAAATTTACCTTAGCTACAGCACTTCAAATTTAATGAACAGATTCCTATGAAACACTTGGTATGGCCAAAAGGTTTACTTTGAACTTATCCATTTTTTCCTCATTTACATTTGTACCTCACCTTTCTATTCCTTCTTTTATAAGGGTATCACATTGAACTCATCTTTCATCCAATTTTATTTTACTTTTACTAACTATATTTGAGCTAGATATTCCTGGGGCTGGGAAAAAAAATGAATTGAGGAACAAATGAAAATTCATTTTTAATGGTTTGAATCTTATACCATTAGCTAGTATTTGTCTTTATCTCCCACATGGTGCAGATGGTGACAAAGGGAATAAAGTCAGGGTCTGTTACCACCAATTAACTCTAGCCATTAGTGGACCTTTCATTAGTTTTTTGGCTCATATAACCATACTTCGCAATCATACATTCTTTAGAATTTTGTTTCCATTAACAGCCATACATTTCATATCATTATCTGAGCTTGTACCTTTTTTATTGACGTTAACAGGCTAACGGATGAATTATTCAAATTTGAAGCATACGAGCTAAACCTCACAGCTCTTTGAATCAACTGAAGACAACCAGAAGTTTAGGACTAGTATCCAATTGGAAACTTTGGTCCTCATTCATGTTCTACTTCTGTGGCATAATCCTCTTCTGGTTAGGCCTTTTGGGCATTTATGGAGTACATAATTGTATTAAAAGCTATATCAACTTCTAAAACCTCCAGGAGGCCATAAGTTTAAAGTAATGATATTGTTATTATAATGTTTTAATGGATATAAAGATCCAGAAAGTATAGAAATTTATTTCTTTTATATCTAATTCCAACTAGTTAGAGTCAATTTTATCAATTCTCATTTTTCATTGGATCTTATTGTTCTTAATGAGTGAATGTGAGCATGCAAAAAATTCAAATTAAAATGATTGTTTCACATACTGCCAACAGTTTTTTTATTGCTGATCTTGTCATCTTACCATCTTAGAAACTTGCTGGAAAGTTTGTTGTTGGTGATCTGTTGACTACCATGAATGAGTTATATATTTGTGGTGAGAAAAAAGAATTTTTCCAACTAACTTTTCTCTTCTCAATTTCCTTATAGTCCACCTTATTGCTTGAGTCATCAGAGAACTTTGATTCAAGCAATATACTTCATAGTTTTTAAGATAAGTAGTAATCTAGGGTCTGAGACCTGATGGACATGTTGTGAAGGAATTTTCTAGCTCTAAATGCGAGGTCATATTTGTAGCTGAATAATAAATTGTAATGGCTGGTCCATATCATCCTCCCATTTTTGTGTGAAAACAAATATTGTATAGGAAACACTTGAAGATCTCAAGAAAATCCTATCAAGAGAGCAAAAACAGTGAGAAATCTCCACGATTCCAATGGAAAACTAGTGAAAAACAGTAATTTTATTGCAAGAAAACAAATTACGAAAGAAAATAACAAGATACAATTGATCCTCTATTCAAGAGGAGGATCGATCTCTCCCAAATCTCTAGACGCCGCTAGAGCCCAAAGAAAACCTATGAGATCTCAAATTTCAGCCAAATTCAAGATGTCCTAACCCTAGGAAAATAAACCGTTTAATGCATACAAATCAAAAGAAAATCCCTAAACAATTCCTACATTCAAATTTCCCTCCTAACTCCCTCAAAAATCCTACCTAAACAGCTCACACACACCCGGGTGTGTGTTCTGCACGTACAAGAAGAGAAAATATCCGCTTCTGTTCGCATAAGCCGGTCCCGTCGGACCGGCTAGACCGGTCTAACATATTTTTAATGTTTGTGAACTTCATTACACCATTTTTCAATCTAAAGCAGTCTATTCTGTTTCATCTCTGAAGATATTTACAAGATTTTTAACTATCAATTTATGAATAACTTTATTCATGTCATATAAGATACTCCTGACTAGATATTTATGAAACAAAATATTCTGATGACACATCTAACTTTGAAGTTACCTATCCTTATATCTTGTTATCCAACTCATTGTAAGTGAGATCATGAGATTTCCAAAGAACAAAGTTCCCACATCAATTTGTGGTTTATATTTCAAGGAGGGGAATTGAATGAAGTTGTTATAAATAATTTGAGTAAGTTTAGAACTTCCCCACTGATAATCCTTCACAAAATAAGCAGCTAAATAATTCTCAACAAGCCGCCATGAATTTTTAGTCAAGTAGCCATTTTTTTGATGTGTTCTTCTTTTTTCTGATGTGAGTGTAGAAAAAGACTTATTGTTCTTCTCCTCCCAATCTTAAAATCATTTATGCAAGTTGATCCCACTCTTCCCGTTAGCCTTCAGATTTTTTCCTCCCCCTTTGATTCTTCTTTAGCCATCAACATCAGATTCCTGTACAGCTTCCTGTGAACAAGTTGCTGCTCTTCTTTTTTATTCCCATTCTTTTTATCTCTCTTACCGTTAGGGTTTTCCTATCTGCAGTTTTTATCACAAGTTTAGCTATCTAAATCAAATTATGGAAATAATATCTAATCTTTTAGCTTAATATTATGCTTTAGGCTTCATTTGAGACAGCTTTCTTATTGCTTCTCAAAGCAGTTTTCTAGTTCAAAAAATTTAATTTTATACTAAAAAAACTGTTTTAAGAAACAGTAAGAAAACCGTCACAAATGAAGCATTAGTTATACAACTGCTAATTCCATTACAAAATAAGCGTAAAAGACTCATTTTCATTGGTAAAATATTCTTCAATTCAAAGAGAAGTGGACCAAGAGCACAATAAGCTATAACAGTTGCTTTCAGAATACTGTTGGAGATTGGAATTAAAGCCAGTCATGTTCTCATTTATAGGAAGAAGATGGCCATCCACACCTTACAAAATGCATGCATCTTTATTACATCAAAACTAAGGACCACTGCCTCACCTTATCCTTGTATAATTAATCATCTAAGTGGTACTGCCAGACTTAGCTCATTTATAGGAAGAAGATGGCCATCCACACCGCTGCCCCTCCCTGAAATGGCGCTTGGCAGCGTGACTAATTCTTGGCTGACCTAGAAGAGACACCCACCCCAGAAATCTCCTGGCCCGCATTTGATTGGGCCCCACTTAAGTTTCACTGCCGCTCGAGGGGAATCCAGCACGGGTTGCGGGGTTCCCAACCGTACTCGCACACCAACCAAGCTAAGCATCGGGGGGTTACTTCACATTATTCAACTCAATATGCATAGTTATGAAAATTCCAAACGAATTTGAAAAAAAAAAAACCTCTTTTGTGAATCAAAGAACAGTGATTCTGTTCTGGGATATTATTCTGAAACTTTACTGTTAGCTGAATCGTTTTGGCTTCTTCCTCTATTGGTTTGGAGAGACATATGACATTGCTGTTGCTGTAGTTTCAGAGTTGAGCACTTGTTCATGCATGGCATCACAGAGCTTATCATGGTTGATTTTACCTATTAGCTAAGAAAGGAAATACTTGTGTAAGTCTTAATGATCATTTTGATCACATCAGTTTCATGAATGCATCATTCTGATGTTATAGAGTTGATGAAGGTTTACATCAACGAGTTCTTAGATCATCTCCAACCGAAAAACTCATTTTTAATTCTAAAATACAGTAATACTTCAAAATGTAGTTATTTATGTTCAACCGAACTCTATTTCTTAACACCAAAAAAGAATATTATGTATATATTTTGTCTCAATCAAACTCCACGCGCTCTGCCTCCGCTTTCTCTATTTCAGAACAGTGTAGCGCCATTGGCGTCGCGCTGTTCACGAACATGAGAATGGAGCACATTTTGCTGTTTTATTGGAATAGTTCGTGGACGCCAAACACAAGTATGAAGTTCGATTGAAGATGAACTAAAACATTATTTTTTAGATTTGTATCATTTAGAAGTAATAATAATAGAATTTTGATTAAACTCATGAATGATTCAAGTACATGAAATGAGTGTGGGCCCCACAATGCCTTGTTTTCAAATATTCACAAATTTAAGAAATTAATGTGACGGTTAAGGAGCCGACTCTTGCATGTATAGAGGTTTAATGTTCACTTCAATGGTGATGGAATCAGCATGGACTTTAAAATTAAAATAAGGGAACTTAAAATTATTGTTCTGTCGTCAATTAATTGCAAAGTTATATAAAAATGTCTTTTTTTTTTCTGAATATATTAAGATATTTTTGGAAGAATGAGTAAAATCATACAGCCTATTAAAAATCAGTAGATGAAAATTATTAAAATGAAATAATATTATTGATGACAAATATGATGAAATCCCGAATTAAAGTAGGATGATCCGAAGAGGGCGAACAACGATCGTTGTGCTAAGGCCAAGATGAGGAGCGTCTCTTGACGGAAAAATTATTACGTGCAGTGTCCTAATGTATTCAGAGGTCAATCCAGATTCGTCATATCACCCAATACACAGTACATTGGGTGGCGTGATTTGTCCGGAACTCCTGACGCGTTCGAACTCCGCACATAATAATCTCTCCTGTTGGTGGGTTTCTAGAATGATAGACTTCAAAAGAAAAAAAGAACGAGAATGATAAACTAACTCCCATATCAAAAGGCAAGGAAATGGTATTGAGCTATATAAATAAAGACTTAAGTTATGAAACACAATAAATATTTATTAGGTGTGCTCATAATGGAGCACTTAGGGGATTGATAATGTTAAGAGAAGTTAACACAAAAATTGATAAAATCATGATTTCAATGTAGTATAAGATGGGTTTAAGGTGTTGTTTGGTTTGTTGCAAAATGGATTTAAAGTGTATTTCAAATTTAGATGTTTTAAAAATATTTGTATTTGATTTGAAGTAAAATGAATGTAGAGTAAAAATTTTTGAAGTAAAAAGAATTCACAATCTAGTTCAAATCCAGTGTATTTGGAATTCCTTAGATTTGGACGATTTTCAAATGCACCGCAAACTCAACGCCATTGCCATTGTTGGCAGCCACCTCCACCACCGGCCCTTGGCCACCATTGCCGGTCATCGATCGCCACCGACAACCCTAGGCTGCCGCGGTCCACCACTGGCCACCCCTAGCTACAATTTTTTTGCAATTTACATTACATTCATTTTACTTCAAATTAAACATAAAAAAATAATCTCCTGCATTCCTTTTACAATAATCAAAACAACTCCAAATTATTTTGTATTTTTTTTACACTACATTTATTTTACATTGCATTCTTTTTTCAAGCAACCACATAGACCCTAAGACATTACAATTGATATTAGAGCTATGTATCTCCCATAGTATGATGAGAAGTTCATGTACAACTAAGCAAAAGCTAGTGGGTAATTTTTTTTTTCCCGCAGTTAAGCGACTATACGCGAGACCACGCAGGAGGCACGAATACTCTCAACCGCCGTGCAGCAAAGCTAGTGGGCTTATGGCATCTCAAATTCAGAAAGAGCAGTGTAAATGATTAGAAGCATATTTAGGGGGAGGCCCAAGTGAGCATGGGCCCCCTTTACCCAAAAATTATAATTCCTTTTCTTTATAAAACTTTTTTTCTTAATTCTTTTTCTTTTAAGTTTTTCAAGAGATTTTTTTTTTTAATTTCTTTACCTCTTTATAATTCATTTCAGCAAATTCCTTTTACTTTTCTTTGAGCTTCTTATAATGAATTTGATATTTTAAATAATATATTATGCTATAGTTTTGATGAAATGAAAAGAGAGAATATAATGAAAAACTTTTATTTAAAGCATCATTTATCTTATTAGCTCATCGAATGTGCTTCTTAATGTTGAAAATAATTCATAATATAATTTAGCATTCATAGTGATCATCGAACTAAGTCCTGCAAAAAGGAAATCTACTAAAAGGCTTCTAGCATGACATACTTATAAGCGAAAAAAGAGGGCTGGAATAGCTTTCTTTCTGCTTTCTAAAAAAGTTTTCTTGTACTAAAAAGTTGTTTTAAAAAGCAGAAAAAAAACGGTCTCCTAAGAAGTTAGACAAAAAAATTATAAAATTATGAGATTTGATTTGGTATGAAATAGGTAAAAATTGCATAATAGAGCTGAGATTGTGATTATAAAGATTAATAAATTATGAATGAGAATTACAGTAATAACAAACCTGGAAGAATGTGTTAATATAATCATCTGAGAGACCTCTTCTGGAAGATTCCTGGAAGGGATGAGGTTCTAACGGTTCTTCATCTTGGCATCTAATCAATCCACCCATCCTTGCTTTATTGCTTAATGATGGAGTTAATATGATGATTAGACTAGCTTAAACAGTGTTAATTAAGAATAAAAAGATGGGATTTGGGCTATTAAATATAAGGAGCAGAAGGGAAAGATGCGGAAATTCTGCTAAGCCAAGCAAGTGTTTGACCATGCGATAAATCAACAGGTGTCAGTTTAGGGCGAATTATGACGTCGGACCGTCCGGAGGCAAATATAACTATTTGTGTGTCTAATTCACCTCTTATTGATTCCCTCCTGTAGGATCTTCTTGAAGGTTATTACATATATATATGAGCCTAGAATAATAGAACTTGATAGCTTTGGAACTTGAGCATTAGTAGTCAACCATAGATGATGTAGATGTCTAGAAGAAATTATAGAAGATTGATCTTCATGGGTGTCGTGCTACGTCATATGATCGAAAGAACTATTATCAATGTGGATTAATCTATCCACACCATTTTATATATGCTACAAAAAGATTCTCATAGAATATTGTAATAGATTTGCTTATGTATGTTAATGATATGCTTATAGCCATATATAATATTGTTGAGATAGAAGAGTTAATGAAGTTACTAAACAATCATTTTGAGATGAACGTATCATTGTTTTGATATAAAAAAAAAAAAAAAAATCATTTTGAGATGAATGAATTTGGATCATGCTAGACATGCCAATGAGATAGATATGATAAAGATATAACTAATTCATTTGTAAAATCAATTAGTTTAATGATTTTACAATTGCATTAAATAATCAATCCAATTATTTGATTAACTAAATCAATATCTTACAAAGGAGTTGTTCAGTTTGCTGCATTTAGAGTGTAAAATAATCTAAATGCAATGGTTTATAAATTGTAGTTATTGATTTGAAGTAAAGTAAATGCAGAGTGTAAAAAGAGAGCATTCTAATTATCCAATGTAGTGCATTTGAAATTACTCAGATTTGGGCAATTTTCAAATACACTGCAAACGCACCGTCATCGCCACCACCGCCCCTGCCAATGGCCACCATCGCTGGCCATTGCACCCCCGCCAGCCTTCACAATCAGCCATCACTGCTAGCTGCCACATCAGGCCATTGTTGTTGGCTGCCACCGTAGGCCACCCCTGTCGGACGCTGCTGCCGGCCACCGCCCTAGCCGTCAGCCACAGTTGTTGCCAGTCAAGAAATTTTTTTTCTACGCAACCTTAATCATATTTGAAAAGCTTATTTTTTCACAACTCATTTTGATCTGTTGGTTGAGAACTTATGCTTCCAATTAAGAGATCTTGAATTTGAGTTTTTATGTATACGTTATGTGTGTAAGTTTATCTTAAATGACCTAAATATCACAAAAAAAAAAACCGTTAGTTTCAATCATTTGGAAAAGACCCTTGCCACTTGAATTTACAGTTAAAATATATACATTTGTGTGTTTAATTAAACTGTACTATAGTACTTCACTGTTTATTAGACAGTCTTCCAAACACAAGAAATACCAACTTAAAGACTCTTTAATCTCTCTTATTCCTTCAGATGCCGCATCTCGAAGCACTGCCAGCTGGGGTTGCTTCTAACAACAAGGAAAATAATAAATTATTCACTTAATAAAAAAAATAGATTTCTCAGATTTAAAATAAGAAAAATAATCAAAGCCAAAGTTTTAGGTTATATTTGGACCAATTTTTTTACTATTTTTTAAAACAATTTTGTAATACAAAATTTTATTTTTTGTTCTGAAAAGCTGAAAAAAGTCATTTTTCTTGGATCGGCTTTTTAGTAAAAAAATTAATTTTATATTAAAAAATTATTTTAAGAATCAATAAAAAACCCCCTATTCTTCATTTGGGTAACTTTTTCATTATTTCTTAAAATAAATTTTTAATAAAAAATTTTTTACACTAAAAATTTTTTCGCCAGAAAATTGCTTTAAAAAATAATAAAAATACTGTCCCATAGGAAGCTGTAGGTTTAACCAAGCCATTGCATTCGGCATTGGTCTACAGATCCAACGGCTACACAAATTTTAAATTCTCTGCACGGTTCTCCACATTCCGAATGCCAAAGTCCAGCACATTTATCAACACAATTTATCTACTATCGATTTGGAAAAACTATGCAGGTCATTTTAGTATGTTGATTTAAATAAAAATAAAAATTTCCCAAAATAAAAAATAAAAATAAAAAAACTTTGTGCTATATATATATATATATATATATATAATAAAAGTACAGCTCCGACGATCATTGCCAACAATCTTCATGGCTTAATTATCATCACTTTACTTCATCACCTGTCCATGATTCCATAATTATTGTCAACCAACCAATACCACTTAAGCTCCATCAAAAAAAAAAAAAAAAAAAAAAAAACCAAATCAAAGAAGAAGTAGACTTGTCAATATTGGACCCGACCAGAAAATTTCGGGTTTGGGTTGACCCGAACCCGAAGCGGGTCGAGTTCGGGTCTGGAAAACGACCCGTTTGCAAAATCCGGCTAGGTTCAGGTTGATCCGGAAACCCAGGAACAACCCGAATTGACCTGGAATAACACTAACCCGCGTCGCGCAGTCGAGCGAGCTCCGCGTCTCGCACTCTCGCCACCACGCTAGCCGCTGCGGCACTACCCCGTTGCTGCGGGCCCACACGCGACCTCTGCAGCTACCCGCGTCGAGCACTAGATCGCGTCGCGCGATCTCTGTCGGCTCCCTGCAACCGCTGCGGCGCTGCCCCGTTGCCGCGTCACCCCGCTGCCCTGCTGTCGCGCACGACAGCTGCGGCGCAGCCTGCGTCTGCCCTAACGCGTCGCGCACTCGCGTCTCGTGCCACCCCGCTTGCCCGCTGTTGCTGGCTGCCCGCTGCCGCGGCTGAAACAAGTGGGGTCGGGTTGACCCGAACCCGAAGCGGGTCGGGTTCGGGTCCAGAAAATCGACTCGTTTGCAAAAACGGGTCTGGTTGACCCCAACCCGAACAGCGTCGTGTCAATTTCGGGTTTGACCCAAACCCGACTCGTGACTCGAAATTGACACCCCTGAAGAAGCCTGCAAAACCCAAAATGTGAGGTTTGACCTATTCAGTACTAAACTGACGTGCAATAATGCTGTATCTTCTAACCCAAAATTAAAAATAATAATAATAATGCGTTAATTAACAGAAAAATAAAAGTGAAAATTTAATTTCCTTATATGATCACGTACTATGCCTGGTAGGCCTATAGAAAATTCATATGATCTGCATGAATCCTGAGATAATCTTTAAATTGAATATTTTTAAAATTAACTCATGATCATCAAAACTTTAATTTTAACAAAATTGCTATTGAAGTGAACATCTCAATGAGACTAATCTATCGACACTATAAATGATCCGATTTGACTTCAAATGAGTTCAAATCGAACACTTAAATTATAATTAGAAAATTCTAAATACTAATTGATAGAACAAACAAACTTCAATTATAATATGTTTATAATTACATCAAACAGCTCGACGAAACTTACTTAACAAGCTGAAAATCATTCAATTTTGACATCATCAAGACATTTAAATATTTCATAAACAGCCTATGATCAAAGGAATAAATATAAACCGTGCAATAAACTTCTTTGAATTATGATCAAATTTACTAAAATATCAACCTCAAAATTTATAAATAAGACTCTATTCTATGACGAATGACCATCACATCGCCACCACAATTTTCAAACTCCTATTAGATTTAACTCTATTGTGGCTTTAAATGTTTAACTATTGTCAATAATTCTTATAATAAATCAAATATTTTATCTCAAATAATCTCATTCTCTTACATGGTGAGAAAAATAAGATCATAATTCTTCCTCATATGTAATAATTTATTCAAATGGGTAAGATCTCAAAAAATTTTTTCTTTTTGAATTTTTCATGAAAAAATTTTCTTATTTTGACTATTATTTCTTATGCTAAATTTTCTTAAGAAAAATTAATACATAAAATAGCACATACCAATGATTTTTTTTAGTTAATCAAATATATATATTTTTTGAATTACATAATATTCTCTCAGAAAAGAGAAAACTACCCAAAAATTGGCAGCATCTGCCAACATTCATTGTCTCCTCATGCCCGAGGCATTAAATCACCTCACGACAAAATCTAAAATTATTTAAATAAATAAATAATTACAACAAATATTAAAAAAACATCTAAATTCTGAAAAAGCAGCGATGCGCAGAGTCACAGAGAAGAAAAATATTAAAAGATGCTATACTGATTAGCCTGCCGCTCACAGGCGCACTATAGGAGGAAGTCGAGACATTAAAGCGAAAGTCTCACATGCGACGTTGCGGATTTAAAAAAAGTAAGAAAGAATGCTCTTAAAATAAATATATATATATTACATAAACAAATAAATATTTGATTAGATAAATTATTAAAAAAGATAAATAAATATTACTCTCTCAAATATGATTTTAAAATGCTTTTTATATAATTTTTTAGAATATAATACTAATTTAAAAATAATTAAAACTGTCGGCGCACGTTAGCATAGCATTGTTCAGTTCATCAGTAACTTTTTCGAAATTGAAACAAATATTTGCAAAACAAAACCTAAAAAATTATAGAGTAGTGGATAATTTCGGGATTTAGATGTACCAAAATGTAATTTTAACTTTTTTTATTACACTCCGCTGGGCTCTTTTCGCGCTCGTATGCGCTCCGTTTCCCGCTCCGTTTCGGTCTTCTTCTTACCGCCACCGGCTGCTTTCGCAACCCGCGTCGCCACTGCAACCGCCGCCCTCGAAGAAGACGATGCTACTCTCTCCTTCCTTGGATGCGAGAAGAGATGTGTAAATCCGAACACGGAGATAGGTTTGGAAGATCCCCGGAGGGAGCAAACAGGGACGTTTAGCACGGAAGGAACCCTAACGTGCGCGGAGAAAGATCTCTCCATGCCACGGTATTTAGCCCTCGACCTGCCATTGAAGCTTCCCGGGCTACTCGAGCTCCGCTCTAGACCTTGAAAGATGATCCTCCCGGATGGATCCATCCGAGGACTATCGACCGAAACCCCACGCGTCGGAACCGGCGTGGCTGACTCCGTCGACCGCCGGACTGGGCTCCGGCTAACCCTAGCCCGAAAATGCTCGTCAGAGACAGCCGGTCGATGTCTGGAGATTCGAACCCTAAGCGGATTCTGGATCCTATCAGAGTCTAGGGAAAGGCGGGGAAGGTCCTCGTGATCAAGACCAGAGGAAGAAGAAGAGGAAAGGGAAAGGCGAGTGGACATGGACGATGCCACCGCCTCAGGATCGATGTCGTGAAGAAGCGGGAGGCTGAGCGATGGATCGATTGAGGATTTGGAGTGGTGGAGGAGAAGATGCTTGAATAATTTGCTGCTAGGGCTCTTCGCTCCCGGCATTGGCTCATTCGATCGCGGACTCGCAGCCACTGTCGAACCGACGGTCTTCAACTGATCCGATAACGTCTTTGCGTTCTGCTGTTTCTTGAAGCCGAGCAGCTCCCTCCACCTCGTCGTGCATCTCGGCGCTTTCGGGGAGAAAACCAAGTCAATGGATCCGATCTCCTCCGCTCCGCACCACTGCTTTTCATCCGGCTCCGTGGAGTGGATCTCTCCGGTCGACGGACGCAACGTTGCCAGGTGGAGCGGCACCAGCTTTCCATCTGAGAAGAGCTCGTCCGCAGGGAGCATGGCGACGGGATCGTCAAGTCGGAATTCGAAATCAATGAGATCCACAGAGCTCCTGGAAGGCTCCATCGTCGAAGCGGCGGAAGGCGATGCAATAGCCACAACGACGTCCGCTGGGGCGGGTGAAATGCTAGGTCCGAGCAAACCGTAGGAAGATTGCTGGGCTGGAGGGAAGGAGTCTGGCGGCAGGGTAACATTGTTGACGCAGGCAGAGGCCATCATTGGTCATCAATGTACCAAAATACGGCAAGGGTTTTCGCCGGAGATGGGCAATGCAGAAGTGCTCTGTGGGAGAAGAAGACAGAGAGGGCTGATTTTTTGTGCTTTGTAGGCTATCTGTGGGGCCTAATTATTTTAGGGTTTGGGGGCCGAGACGATAAGCGATAAGATTAACACCCTTCCGCCGTTAAAGAGTGTAGGATTTATAACCGCCTTAGGGCTTAGGGCTTAGGACTTGTTTGATTGCGACAACAAATTTGGTCTTAAATAAGGTCAATTGTTTCGTTTGATAAAAAAGATGAGATAAGTAAAGGAAATTATTTTATTTTATAGGCTTAAGCACGTGTTTTATGAATAATTGAGTTAAGCTAAGCTGTAGGCCGACGTAACTTACCGTACCTAAGCCCAAAAAACACGATGAGCATGATTTATTATTCTGTGCGGAGTTCGGAGGACATCCTGAGAACAATAAAATTGTGCCACATCACCTCATTGTTTGTTACCCAGCTCGGTATTCGCATTTGGTACCCCTTGATATCGCTAGGTACCTAGTGCTTAACCAGACGGTTAACCCGTCCGGTGTACGCACATAATAAAAACTATGAGCAAAGCTTGTCTTACATGCTACTAAGCGCCAATCAAAGGATTTAAAAGAGTAAGATAATATATTTAAGACCATACAATTATCCACCGAGGCTTAGGGTTGTTGGCGTGCGAGCACGATTGGGAACCCCCATTTCGGGTTCAAATCCCCCCTACGACGAAAAATTATTTTATGTGGATGTCGAACGCCATCCAGAGACCAATCAGAATGCGTCACATCACCCTTTTGTTGTACAGTAGCTTGGTACTGCTCGATACTGTGGCTCGGTACCGCTCGGTACCACGACATCCGGACGTAGAGCTGCGTACGACATTCACACAGAATAATTTCTCCTCTACTACGGCCTCATCTTTTCAGTGTGGCAAAGAAAGTGTGGGTCTGATACCGGTGAGTGGTCTCGTTAGGTTCTGTTGAGAGATTAGTTACACCGTCAAGCACTCCTTTTGGAGTGGCAGCGAGTAGATACTCTTGTTTCCAAAAAAAAAAAGACTATACAATTATTATTCAGCTATTTGTATCTATTTAATTATATGAATTTATGATAAATTATTAACTTTAGTTTTTAATATTTATCAGATTTTAAATTATTTGATCTTAACATTTGAAAATCTTGTATTATAATTCGGTATGACTACATATTTTTAATGATTTGAACAATCCCTTTTAGCATTTGTCAACTCTTTCAAAGCATATTTTTAATACATTTTTATGAGATGTAAACATTTTTTTTAAATATTGTTCTATCTTGATTGAATTTTTAAATTAAATATTCTTATATAGATCCTAAATTTGGATAAAACCTTAAGACCATGTAAATAATCTTAAAATGGTCCTTTGATCTTCTACATTAAAGGGAAACTTTTTCAAAATAAAATAAAATAACTTATTACCCTTAATAAATAATTTAAAAGATTTATCCTAGAATTCCTAAAATATTTTCTAAAATTCATTTTCATTTTGTACAACCAAAAAAAATTTCAAATATTTAACTTGAGAGTGTTAAGAAATCATAATCTTAATTTTAAGAGAATTTGATGACATTTGCATAGAAAAGATTTAGATATTAATTCTAGGCCAAGATAGGTGTCCTATGGACCTAAAAATATTTAGATATTAATTTGATTAAACTATCTTCTTCGGTTTCATTTGAGGCGGCTTTCTTAATGTTTTGTAAAGTAACTTTATAGTACAAAATTTTTATTTGTTGTACTAGAAAGCTGCTTTAAGAAGCAGTAAGAAAACTGTCCCAAATGAAGCATTAATGGATAAATACCAACTTAAAAAAAACACGATTTTACAAACTAACTTCAAAATGGTAGACTTCATTACGAATGTCGATCACATAAAAAGGTCTGAGAACAATGATCAACATTAGAAATATGAGTTTGAATATAAAAATAAATAACGACAAGTAAAATATAATCACACAATATGATCATAAATTAATTTATTTGAAAATGAATCGTAATTTTATCTAAAGATTAAAATAAAAAAATTTATATCAATGCCCAAAAAGAGTATATAACTTGTACTAATATTTTTTTTCTATAGACTTCGTTTGAGATGACTTTCTCAGTATTTCTTAAAACAACTTTTTAGTTAAAAAAAATTAAATTTTGTATTAAAAATCTGCTTTAAGAAGCAGTAAGAAAGATTATTATTATTATTATTATTATTATTATTATTATTATTATTATTATTATTATTATTATTATTATTATTATTATTATTATTATTATTATTATTATTGGGAGATCTCCATTATGAATCACTAGAAGACTGAAAAGCTCAGCCCCAATTATAATTGTACCATTTTGGAAATCTCAAAATTCTTTCTTATTAAAGTTATTTTTATTTAAATTTTGTTGACTATAACTCAAACCAACTAAAAATAAACTAATTTAGCTTGGCCTCTACATTGTTAGGGAATCTCCTTTCCTTCATTTGTGCTAAATACATTCATAGAAAATCTCTGCTCAACAATCTCAAACCATCGAGCCACCTCTCCTTGTTAGCTTCAATATAGACTTGGATGCTCCCTACTATATTCTTTAGGAGCAATTATTACGTCCGGTCACCGAACGCGTTCATAGACCAATAACCACGCGCCACATCACCTTAAACTCGGTATTGAGCACTCGGTATTGCTCGATATACATTCAGATACGTTCGGATTTGACCGGACGTAATAATTACTCGTTCTTTAGAGACTCGTTCTCATCAGCAAACTCTTCAAATATATCTAGAAGGATTGTTATCATAAATGTTTCCTTATTATACCTCACAGCATAAATAGTCACATCAAAACCAACAATTTTCAAGTAGGACCTTCATATTCATTCTCTTCATCTTAAAATCTCTTGAGGTTAGGGGTGTCAATTTGGGGTCACAGGTTGGGTTCGAGTCAAACCTGTAGCTGACCCGGCACTTTTCTGGTCAATTCGAACTTGATCTGTTTTTGCAAATGGGACGGTTTTTCGGACTAGAACCATAACTCGACCTGCTTCGGGTCCGGGTCAACCCGGCATGACCCGAATGACTAGGGCCAACAAAAAAAAATCTAGTTTTCTCGTAAAAAAACGTCAATCTTCAATTTTCAGGTAAAAACGGGTTAATCTCATGTTTTCGGGTAAAAAATGGAGTTTTAGGTCAACTTCAGGTTTCTGGGTCAACCCGAATCCGACCCATTTTGAGTCTTGGTTGACCCTAACTCAGAATTTTCGGGTCGGATTCATGTCGGATTTTCGGATCGTGTCAAATATTGACACCCCTACTTGAGGTCCAACCCCTCATGCAAGACCCTTTCATCACTAGGATATACAAGATTCCTCTCTACATTGACATCCTTAACGAGCTCCACTAAAAGCATGTCCTTAACATTAGAAAAATTCAAGCCATCGCCAATTACAAATATATATGTTATCAGCTTCATTAAAATCTTTGCATTTTATAGTAAATTCCTGAAAATGTTAGCTCTTCACCACTCTCCTTTTGCACATTAGTATTGCAGTTACACCGACTGGACAAAACTGTGACATGTTGAAGATATTTATATTATGTAGAACTTATATGATCCATTTCAAATGTTTTATTGTCTAGGTTGAATTGGATTTGTTATAAATTTTATTCTTTTGTCTCTCTTGGCTTCTCAAAAAGGAAAGATAAATAGAAAATTGATATATATCTATATTTACCTAACTCAAATTAAGCAAATCATTAAGATAGTCTGAATTAGATTCAACAAGTTGTTGATTATGAACTAAATTAAATGCCCATAACTTAGTACTCACCATATTTGAAATCTCCTAAAGCCCTCAAGTTGCCCAAAATCAAATATCATAAAATAGCCTAAGAGTTATCTCTAACTTGATTCTTAGTATTATGCTACAGAACTCGCTGAGGAGCTAAAAAATCCTCCAATCAAACAAGATTTTTCATCTAAAAAAACTCCTTAAATTGGCTATAAGAATAATCACCAACCAATAGAAGACTCATGCAAAAAGAAATCACTAATGGTACTCGTTCTCAATTAGAAGCTCACCTAAAATACGTAATTGTTAATCGATTACAAGCTTAAGTCACCCACTACATAGCTAGCTACACTAAGGCTTTGTTTGGGACGGCTTCCTTTCTGCTTCTTAAAATAGCTTTCTAGAACAAAAATTAAAATTTTTATACTAGAAAGCTGCTTCAAGAAGCAGTAAAAAAGTCGTCCCAAACGAAACCTAAGTTTAATCCATGTAAATTCAATAAAAACCTAACACATATAATCTATCTAGAATTCAATTCATATTTCATACTCTCTCTCTCTCTCTCTCTCTCTCTAATATGTATGTGTGCATACATATTCATACATATTACATAATTTGGTTATATATAACTTGGTTCAACTAATCCTTCCATCTAAAATGGCTCAACCAACTCATTTATTTCCCTAATAAATTATTAGTGTCTTTTTAGAAAAAAAAAACATTAAATCCAACATAATCAATAATTTCATAATTAAATGAAATGTGCTCAACTACTAAAATATCATTAATAAAATTAATTAAAAAAAACTATAAGCAGCCTATTTCTTCTAAAAAAAATTAATAAAAATAAAAAACATATTTGTAGTCTTATGATTCTTCTTGAAAGGGAAGTTGTCCCCAACGGCCAACAGCATTAAATATGACCTATCATTTTCTCAAAGTCACGTCCAAAATCAACAGCCTAAGCAAAGCGACCTAAATTGCCGATTCATCATATAAGAAAATTGCAAAATCTCTTTCGCAATATAATAATTGTCGCAGATAATGCTTACAAAACTATTAGCCTATTATTGTCTGATGGTGCCTAAACATTAAAAATATATATATATCTGTTGAGGGTAGTTAATTAATTATACAGTTCTGTGTGGCCTAAAGATGGTGACCTAAGCTCACGAGCATGTGCATGGCTCAATTATACTACATAATTGTCTCTTTGCATTGAATCATGGATGTCAATATTTGACACGATCTGAAAATTCAACTCGAATACATTATAAAAATTTCAAATTTTGGTTAACTTGTTTGTGAAATGGGTTGGGTTCGGGTTCAACAAACCGACCCGTTTTAAAAATCGGGTCGGATTCGGGTTGACCAGGAAACCCAGAAATGACCCGAATTGACGCGAAATGA